ATGATATTTCATAAAGGAAGCATTTCTGAATTTTTTGATTTAAATTTTGAAATTGAATTCAATTATAATGTGACTGAGAAGAACAAGTTATGAAAATGATTGTAAAAAATGGTTTGCCGAAATAAACTATGATTGTGAACAATATGATATTAAATATCTTTTTTCATATAGCGATATTGAACAATACTGCGAAAAATATTTAGCCTATTAACAATGTATAATAGTTTTATATTGTACTATTTTTTATATTCTATTTTTAGTTGTATATATTTATTTTTATATTATTTATTTTAATAAAATCTATTTTTAGCTTTACAATTTCGCTTCATCTTTACATAAAAAAAATAATTACTTAATAATATAAGATAAGGTTGTTGTTTGATTTTACTAATGTTCTTACGTCATTTTCGTCTCGATCCCAATCTCAAGTCAAATTTGTAATGAATGCTCGTAGCAATCTTCAACAACCATTTTACCACCACTTTCGATAATATAATTATCCTTGAATTTTGTTAGGTCACTTCACTACGACACGCTTTTCAAGAAAAGCTCGTGCAAAAGTTTCTTTTTTCCGTGGCAACATTTGTTACGATATGCTCGACGCCTCGATTACATGAATTTCGGTTGCAATAGCAACCAAAATTAATGCTTATCTCATTTCGCACATATCTCACAAAGTTGTAAAAACTTTAAATATTTAAAAAAAATATAAAATAAATATTTATTTATAGTATTTTTACTGTAAAATAAAAATAATATTAAAAATATTTAGTTTATTAAATATAATAAATAATCTATATTTTTTTTATTTTAAACTTTATAAATGATATAATTATTATTATGATTTTGCATACAGTATACATAGAAAACATGTAACCAGCTAAATAAAAATATATTTGCCAAGAAATATTCAAATATTCGCAAGCGAGAATTGCTTATTATAAAATTGTATGGAATTGCAAATATCGGAATTAAAAATACATTATAAACTTTTTTAAAATATCTGGTTTCTTTAATCATTGTATGATATAATTTGATAAAATTGATTAAGTTTTGAAAAAAAATATTGTTAAATTCCATATCTTTGAAAATACCAAAAAATACGATTTCATCGACCCACTTCTCAAATTCTGTATAATTTTGATTCTTGTATAAGGCCACTTTATCTAATGCTGAGTTGGTTGCTAAATTTAATGCATCATTCAAATGTATTAATTCTCGATTTTGACTAGTTAATTTATCGATATTATTTTGTAATTCTAGAATTCGATTGTGTAATTGAGTATTTGTTCTTAATAGTTCTTTGCGGTCTGCCCTTAGTCCTATAATTCGTTGGAGAAAATCTGTATTTTCACGAAGTAAAATAATATTTTGTTGTTTAATTTCATCAATAGTTCTCGAACTCAAACTGGATGTCATTTTTACAAAATTTTAATAATAAATTTTTTGATAAAAAATATATTGATTTATTTATATTTAAAATAAAATATAATTTAAAAATAATATTAAATAAATATTTATAAATAAAAAAAATAAAAACTAAATGCTATCAAATTTTTGTTTTTTAGTTTTAAACTCTTCTTCGACTTCTGATATATTGTTATTAAACAATTCATTTTCATCAATTAAACTGTCAAAATCATTTTTTCTTTTACCATTTATGTTTAACTCTTGATGATTTGCTATAATCATTTCTTGAATTGCAACAATCTCATCGTGAATTTTATTTGCTAATTTTTGTTTTTTGTTTGTTTTGAATTTTCCTTTTTTTTGCTGACGTGTATAATCAGAATCATCCGAATCAAGTTCAGAAAATTTATCTTCTGAATCACATTCAATATCAGAATTTTTTTCACTGTTGTGATGTTGAGCTGAAGATTCAATTTGTAGATCTGAATCATATTTATTTTCACTTCCATTATCTGATTCAACTATTGTATGATAATGTTTTGAAATTTGATTTGTTTTTATAATATTTTCTTTTTGTTTCGATGATTCAGCTACATATTCAAATTTATAATTGATTTTTTTTTATCAGATAAATTTGGTAAGCGTTCAAATAGAATTACTTTTTTCTTTTTTGTTTTTTAATTTTTGAATTATTTCAGGAAATAAAATTCTGACTGACGGTATTCCATCTTTAGATTCTAAAGGGTTTTCTTTTAAATTATCTCTTATGTTTTTTTCTTTTTTTGAGGATAATATATCTCAACAGGACCAAGAATATATTTACTTTTATCGACTGAATAATATTTTTGCCAATAAAGAATTTTGTCATCTTTTTTTAATTGCCCGTAACTATTTTTTATAATTTCTCTAGCTTTTTCTTCAGTCACATTATAATTGAATTCAATTTCAAAATTTAAATCAAAAAATTCAGAAATGCTTCCTTTATGAAATATCAT